CCATGGCTTTATGCAGGCCATGAGCCTTGAGTTTGACACCCTGGGTTTGGGCTATCTTTTAGATCAAAGGCACTTGGAGATGGGAAGAAACCTCATGGTAATCATACAGGTAGTTCTCAACCTATGACCATAATGGAGCCTGCCCGTTACAGCCATAAGGCATGATGGTTGTAAAGCAGATCTTCCATATGACTGATCTTTTATGATCTTTTTCATGGTGGTTGTTTAAGTGAACATTACAGCCATTGATCAGTATGACTGGTTTTGCCAAAACCCAGAAGTAAACGTCAGTTTTCAGCAAAACATCATAAAATGCAGTCACATAATCATGGGACACTGCAGCCATAAATATGGGCCTGTTTCTGAGTATCCAAAATGCATTCATTTGAAATATACAGTCCTCAGTTTGGTTCAAGGAAAGCAGCAACCTGCTTTGCTTCAACCAAATGTCAAGTAAGATTCCTCTAATTTAAGGGCAACAGGGAAGCTCTGTTTCTTATGCTAGTGGTCTGTTTTTATTTGTTGATTAATTACCAAAAATGAAAAACCCTTGCTGATTTATTGTAAAGCACCTAGAGAGCCATCAGTAGATCCCACATATAAATTCTGTCAGATTCCTCATTGGTGACTGCTATGATACTGCTTTTTTTTGGTAGTTAAAAAAAAGTGTTAAGCTAGTACAGCTTTATGATTTGCTTTCATTATTGAGTGGCACCTTTGTTAAAGAAACCAAGGATAATTTATGCTTAGGAATGACAAACTAGGACATTTATTTATAATATGAAAGGAGCAAGGCTAGGCTCTAGAATTCCAGAATCCTTTTTAATTTTAGTGTAATTTTATGGAGGCTTGGATTCTTTTGCAGAAATACACCCCAAGCTTAAAGAGATGTTTGCTGTGGTTCCATCACATCCAGACTCCAATGCAGTTTATCTAAAGGTATTTAATCACCAATCAGCTTTTTATTGCAATGTTCTAAAGTGAAGCTTCTGAGTTGAAACAGTATTTTAGAGATTAGTATCAAAATGTCAGACAGCAATATTAATCATCCAGATGTGTTCCAAGAGAGCAGGTATTTGGCAGGACAAATGAAATCCTTTTCTTTTCTGCTAGACTAGGGCATTCATAGGGCGACGGTCTCTCTCTCTTTCCCGTTTCCTCCTTTGGAAGACGATAAATCACAGGCTTTGTCAGCAAGTCATGAGAGGGGCTGCTGTTTGTTAGAATCTGTCCAGCCTAATATCAGAGTTGCATGGATTGGAAGTTAGAGTTCCAGGGATTTTTAAATAGAAATAATAATAATAATAATAATAATAATAATAATAATAATAATAATAATAATAATAATAATAATAATAATAATAA